AACCATATCTATTTGGGCCAGGGCCTGGCCAGCCATCTGAATTTGGGCCAGGCAGGGCCGACGTGGCAGGGGCAACCACGTGCGTGCATTTAATGGGCCTAGAGCGGTCATAAATAGGCCCATTGTCCCAAATGCATGGCATGGGCCACATTTCTTCCTCCTTGTACTGGGTGGAAAAAAACTTGGAACCTCTGTCCAACATGGACTAGTACTACCACTATTACTACTACTACCACAAATTCACTCATCCATCAAAACCATCCAGCCAAGCAAAGAACTTAAAATTCTGGTTTGACTAACACTCAAGCTTATGAGTGTGTATGATTCAACATACTTGTATCAAGCCCTGTATGTACATTGGTAGACAAATCAAACAAACCCTCTAAGTACACAATTGCAACTGGGTGGTGTTTAGGGTTTGAAGATGGAATATTCTTTGCCTATACTACCACTCACCTGACCAGGTGGTTGCTCCATTGGGCATTGGAGATGGATTTATGGCCACCGTACAAGCTACACACACCCCTAGCAAAATTTTCTAGGTCCTCTTAAATATACTACTGGCTTGTCAAGTGTCTTATAGTTTAGTTATAGTTTAGTAGAGCTGTTGTTCTAATAGTATTTTTTTGGATTTGATTATCGATCTCAAGTTTGGGATCAGCAAGATCTAAGCATCAGCAAGCGATCACCATAGTGTCGAGTCTTTATTTTGCAAGTATACACTGTTGTATGGCCTACGTAACGCGTAGGTGGTACAGCCCTAATGTCACCGACATTGCCCCCCGAAAAACATCTCCAGCTCCCGATTTAAGGATCACACCTTACCAAGCACGAGCAGCAGTGAGCGCAGTAGTAGCAGCAGCAGAGAAGCATTGAGTTTGAGACGTCTCTCTCATGTCATTTAAGTAGAAAAAAGAGAGGGTTTTATTTTTTCTTTAAAGAAGACGAAGACCAAGAAACAAAACAAGTTAAATTCAAGGAGATTCAGTTGCTCTACGATCACGGATCTCAAAAGATTCCCCCGCTGTTTTAAAAATACGCTGCTCTTTCAAGTCTTTGTCCGTGCTTGTAAAAGTTGCAGGCAAGCTGTGTGTTTTACCTCGTAAGTAGCCACCAAAGTCAAACAAGCAAAGCCAGCCAATGTGATACACATCGTATCAAGAAAATGCCCGCCACCTTTTCCTCTGTCTCTCTTTGCTTCGTTTTGTGTGTAGTTTTTGTATCGTTTTGCAAGGGAAAGAAGAGCGCCCATGAAGGAATTTCCTTCCTGGTGTAGATGAAACACGAAATCCGGCTGTGTACAAGTCAAACGCCAATCACAGAGAGTAAACTATGTTGTCTCGAGACCCGATCCCCAAGATAAGAAATGTTAGGACTACGCGTCATCACCAAGTTGGGAGAGAAAACTATAATTTATAGATGATCCTGATACTGCTCATGAAAAAGAGTTCCATTTCTCCACTAAGATTTCAATTGTCTCACATGTGATGTGCTGAGGATCTATGCAAGTGCACAATGTGGAGGAGATTCTTGCAAATCTATCGAGCACTTGCGATCTACTGGAGGGAAAGGTCCTCCACTTTCAGATCGAGAGAAGCCCGCATTGCCATGACAGATTGGTGGCCAACTTTCTTGTCCAAATGTACGGCAGATGCGGTAGCCTCGAAGACGCTCGGAAAGTTTTTGACACCCTTAGCAATCCCAACGTTTTCTCCTGGACAATGCTCATCAAAGCATATGCCCAAAACGGGCATCTTGAAGGTGCACGAAGCATATTTGATGCGATGCCTATCCGAGATCTTGTCGCATGGAACACCATGATAAAACTTTATACAGACAATTTTCGTTTGGATTCGGCTAGAACAATGTTCAACCTTATGCCGCAAAGGGACGTTGTCTCCTGGAACTCCATGATCAAAGCAAATGCCCAATCCGGACATGTGGATAAGGCTAAAGATGTATTTGATTCCATGCCGGAACACAATTTGATCTCGTGGAACTCGGTTCTCGCCACACTTGCTCAAGCTGGAAGAGAAGAAGCAGCGCAGGATGTGTTTGATCAAATGCAACTTCACGACCTAGTCTCGTGGACTGCGCTGCTCGTCGCATATACCCAAGCGGGGAATCTCCTTGTCGCAAAGTCAACGTTTGATAAAACGCCAGAACAAAACACAGTCTCGTGGACTGCCATGATTCAAGCCTATGCCCAACATCAGAAGCTTGAGGAGGCAAGATCGATGTTTGACGGAATGTTGGAAGACAAGGTGGTGTCGGGGAATGCAATGATTGCCGCATATGCTTTGGAGGGTCAACTGGAACAAGCAAAGCTCGTCTTCTGCGATCTCATGCCGGATCACAGCCTCGTTTCCTGGAACGCAATGGTGACGGCCTACACTCACAATGGATTCTTCGCGATGGCCAAAGTGGTGTTTGAATCCATGCCTCACAAGAACACAGTGTCGTGGAACTGTCTGCTAGCGGGGATGAACCACCACGGAGCATTTCGAAACCAAGCAAGCAAGTTCTTCCACCGGATGCCAAGCAGGGACTCCGTTTCGTGGACGAGCATGGTCGGAGACTTCGCCCAATTCGGGGAGTGCGAGCGAGCAATGGAGATGCTGCAAGCAATGGCTATGGAGGGTGTGCGATGGAGCTTCTGCGGCCAGCCCCTGACGAGCGCGCTCGTCGCTTGCAGCAACACTGGGATGATCGGCGAGGCGAGAGTGCTGCTGCTAGCGGGGAGCTCAGATCACGGGCTTGATCCGTGGAGAGACCACTACTTTTATATCATCGACGTGCTGGGGCGAGCGGGGCTCATCACCTCCGCCCGAGATCTCGTCGCAAGCATGCAAGTCGCGGCAGATGATCCAGTCTGGGAGGCGCTGCTCAATGCGTGTAATTCTAGATGTTAAGAAAGATGATGGAATTAGTAAACTCTTTCCTTCTGCAAAACTACCAGATTCATAATTCAGGTGACTCTTTAGTCAATTGTAAAAGACTTAAGGCACAAGGGATATTTGTTTGTCATAAAGAACTTATTGTCTTGGCAAATAACAGGATACTTTTGCAAATTAGGTCATGTTGTGGAAAAATACTAAAATTAATATTTAATATTAAATTAAAGTTTCAACATTTTAATATATAAAAAAATATTTTCTCAAGGAAAATGGTAACTACTTATAAAGTTTAATAGATTAAATATTTAAAATATTTATCTTTCCATCAAAATTTTACCCCTTTATACATCAATCCCAATGTTTTAGATGATTATAGAATATTTTTATAAACACTTTAGGTTAAAAGAAATTAAATGTACTCATTGTAAATAATCATAAAAGAACTAAATGAAAATAGTAAAGTTTAAAGTGATAATAATGCAGTTGATATTATAATTTATTAAAATTTAAAATATTAACATAATCAAAATAACATCAAATTGAATAAATATTTTCATAGTATACTAATTACTTATATTGCTCTTTCATGATATTGTATCATTTGATTGTACTGCAGTTTTTTCAAATGTTTTAAACTAAAAAAAATCTTTTATATTATTTTTATGAAATAATTTTAAATTATTAACCTATATATATGTATAGGCTTTTTAAATTCAAGTATGATAAAAATAACTGCTGAAAAATTAAATTAAAATTAGCATAAATTAGAAGTTTAAGGTTTGGATAAACAGATTTTAGGGTTCTTTGGAGCAATGCGATGGTTGGGGCGGCATTGCTGCTGCTACTGCCTGGGCGGGAGGCCTTCAGGTACTGCAATCTCCGCCTACATTCCTCCGGATTCAGGGGTGCTCGCAACGCCGTCGAGTCGGCGCAGTTCTCGCGGGTACTTAGGAGCAGCAGGATCAGCCACGCCGTCCTGGGGAGCGGCGAGGGATTCCAAGAGCTGGACGAGATGCTAGAGAAGATCGCCACGATGCCCGATCCATCGCAGGGATATGGCTTCGTTCTCAGGCAGATTGGCGAGCGCAAGGCGCTGGCACAGGGCAAGCGCGTCCATGCTCACATCTTGAGGACCAGGAAGTGGAAGTCGAGCACCGTCGTCTCCAATCTCCTCGTCCAGATGTATTGCCAGTGCGGCAGTGTGGATTTGGCGCGCGAGGTCTTCGCCGGCACGATCCATCGCAACGAGCAGTCGTGGAGCTCGATGATCGCGGGCTACGTCCACCATGGCCGCCACGGGGAAGCGCTCGATCTCTTCCTCAACCTGGAATGCGAGCAGCGCATCCAGCCTAATCGATCCATCTTCGCCAGCGCTCTCGCGGCTTGCACCCACTTGGGCGATCTGGAACATGGTCGAAGGATCCACGAGCGCATTCATCACTCCAAGATCGCTGGAGTTCACGACGTGGTGATCGGGAACGCATTGGTGACGATGTATGCCCGGTGTGGGGATTTGGTGTCGGCCCGTGAGTTTTTCGAGGGGATGCGAGAGAAGAATTCCATGTCGTGGAACGCTATCATCTCGGCTTACGTCCAAGGCGGCCATCCCCGGGAAGCTCTCGAGCTCTTTGCGAGGATGACAGGGAAGTTAAACAGCTTCGTTTTCGCCAGCGCTTTCACTGCTTGCTCGATGGTGGGAGAGATTGATCTCGGTAAGAAACTCTATGCAAGGTTTGTCGAGAGCGGACTAAAGCCGGATTTGATCGTGCAGAACGCTCTGATGAGCATGTATGCCAAGTGTGGAGAGTTGGACGAGGCGAGGAGGATTTTTTTCGAGCTTCCAACGCGTGATGTCGGTGCATGGGCGTGTCTCATGGCCGGATATGCTCAGCACGGAGATGTCGCTCGGGCTCTCGAGCTCTACAACAGGATGAGAGACGAGAAGGTGGAGGCTAACGCGGCCATTTTCTCCACGCTCATCGCGGCTTGTTCCACTCTGAAAGAAGGTGAGCTTGTGAGAGACCTTGCCTTTGCTTGTGGATTTGAGGCTGATCCAATCGTGCAGGCTTCTCTGGTCGGAATGTATGGGAAGCACGGCAAGATTGAGGAAGCGAGACGGATTTTTGATAACATTCATGGCGAAAACAAAGACGTGGCTGCCTGGTCGAGCATCATTTCGGCTTACGCTCGGCACGGGTTGACGGACGAGGCTTTGAGGCTGTTTTGGAGGATGGTTTCTCGAGGGGTGGAGCCGAATGCCATGATTTTCAAGAGCGTTATATGCTGCTGCGCGAGCGGTGAGGCTCTGGAGCAAGGCAAGGCCGTCCATGCACGGCTGAAGGAGAGCCCGAGCAGGGAAGACTCGGCAGTCCAGAACGCGCTCGTTGGGATGTATTGCAAGTGTGGGAGTCTGGACGATGCAAGAGCCGCCTTCGACGTGACCAAACGCAGAGATCGGCACACCTGGACGACCTTGATCATGGCTTACGTCCAGAAGAGGAAGCCGGAGAAAGCGCTGGAGCTTTATCACGGCATGGACGTGGAACCCGACGAGTTTATTCTTGCCAGTGTTGCAGCAGCTTGCTCCAGCTTAGGTTCTCTCGAGCAAGGCATGGCTGTC